GATATGGAGTTCAATATTGGTTTATATGGAGTTCAATATTGGTTCATATGGAGTTCAATATTGGTTCATATGGAGTTCAATATTGGTTTATATGGAGTTCAATATTGGTTTATATGGAGTTCAATATTGGTTTATATGGAGTTCATATTGGTTTATACGGAGTTCAATATTGGTTTATATGGAGTTCAATATTGGTTTATATGGAGTTCAATATTGGTTTATATGGAGTTCAATATTGGTTTATATGGAGTTCAATATTGGTTTATATGGAGTTCAATATTGGTTTATATGGAGTTCAATATTGGTTTATATGGAGTTCAATATTGGTTTATATGGAGTTCAATATTGGTTCATATGGAGTTCAATATTGGTTCATATGGGGTTCAATATTGGTTTATATGGAGTTCAATATTGGTTTATATGGAGTTCAATATTGGTTTATATGGAGTTCATTATTGGTTTATATGGAGTTCAATATAGGTTTATATGGAGTTCAATATTGGTTTATATAGAGTTCAATATTGGTTTATATAGAGTTCAATATTGGTTTATATGGAGTTCAATATTGGTTTATACGGAGTTCAATATTGGTTTATACGGAGTTCAATATTGGTTTATACGGAGTTCAATATTGGTTTATACGGAGTTCAATATTGGTTTATATGGAGTTCAATATTGGTTTATATGGAGTTCAATATTGGTTTATATGGAGTTCATTATTGGTTTATATGGGGTTCAATATTGGTTTATATGGGGTTCATTAATTTATTGGTCCATAAATATAATTTATTGTTAGCATTTTTTTTTACAAACTGCCCTGCTCAGAATTGCACATCATGTGTACATGTATGCAAAGCTAAGGTCATTTATTAAATGATATGGAAATAACATTTTCTGTAATTATATATTTTTTATTCAACAGTTCTGTGAAGCAAGGCAGTTTATTGATTGACAATAGTACAATAGATCCCGCAGTGTCTAAAGATATGGCAGCATTGGCTGAGAAAAAAGGCTGTGTGTTTATGGATGCACCAGTGTCTGGAGGTATGTGTTATACTAAGAAGATTCAAACCAAATTGAAATTGAATTGATATATTCAAACCAAATTGAAATGTTCAAACCAAATTGAAATATTCAAACCAAATTGA